CTCCAGATACCTAACCCTGCATGTCCTCAATCAACGTCTGCCTTTCTCAGTGCTTGGTTCTTACTGGTATAAATCTTGTACCTTGTGCCCGAACACAGTTCGTTCGCCACGTGAGTCTGAGAAGCGTTCCTCGGTACCCAGCTCGTGTTCCCGCAGTCGCATCCCAGAGCCGCCGTCGTGCGAGTAATGAAGTCGGATACTCGGTTCTGAATGCATCATCAGTCCGACGCAGCAGTGGCACCCAGGGATCCTGAGTGGCACCCGCGGTAGCCAGTGAAGAGGCTCTGCTTGAGAGCTCTCTTACGCGCGAAAAGGGGTGCATCTTCCAGCACCTTGCGCCGCGGTGTCGCAGCCATGCCCTAGAGCCATTGCATCTCTCGCACCGCTCAACAGTACGAAGGTCGGGACGAAGGCTTTGCTCGTACGACAGTGCTGCACATCGTCGTTATCGATCGAGTGCTCGTCGATGACAACAATTTCAGGTCCTTGGAACCTCGGTCGCCCTGCCCCTCGGTGTCGACCTCGTACTAGAATGAAAAGCTCAGAATCCCAGTGAAGCGACAACGTTGTAGGCGTGCGATCAAGGGCATAAGAAGAGTCTCTTATATCATGCTCTTATATACCCTTGGTGCGATGCAGTCGCCCCGATCTCGAAGCAATCGGAGACGTATCGTCCTGTAGAGAGTACCGCTTCAACATCAACGCCTCGCAACAAAGCCACTGTAAAAGCTATGGAAGCACGTCCATTCGGGTACAACTCGGAAGGGATCCGAATGTCCTTTGCTTGCTCGGCTTGTCGTCTGGCTGCATGCGACGGGATCGGCGAGCAGCTCAATCTGTCAACGCTTTCACTTTACCCTGATGTATTGGGAAGTAGCACTTGCAGTTGCCTTGTCGATAGACAACACTGTGCACACGTCCGAGCAGTCGCTCCGTGATCCGGATACCATGTTAGGGGTCGGGTATGCATTCTCCGAGGTTTTCGCATTGTGTGTGGGAGGTGCAGGAAAGAGTGGGACGGCATTTGACTGGTGGTTGATTCGCATACAAACATCAAGTGATTGCGTCGGGCGCAGTTATTGGCTGCGATACAATGGTATAAAAATACATGGTCCAAAAGAATAAAAATACATACCTCGCGTGGTAAACGCGGCGTGAAAAGCGATTAAAAAGACAGGCTGCGAACGAATAAAAACGACGTCGGCAAAGCTTTGGCGTTGGGTAGTTTTCCATCGTCGGCCCCGATCTTTGCCCGCAATGGAGTTCGCCGAGTACGAGAAGATGCTATGGAGCCTCATGTCGCCCGACAACAGCGTGCGCAATGTGGCCGAGGCGACGTTCGAGGGCATGAAGGCCGACAGCGATGGCACGCTCCTGCATCTGCTGCAGGTAGACATGCATTGACGACGCGGCGGATGATGCTGGACGTCTGCTAGGTCATTCGGTCGCCGGCGAGCGACGACGTGCGTGGCCTCGCCGCCGTGCTGCTTCGCCGCGTCCTCTTGCGCGACGAAGTCTCGCTGTGGTGCAATGCGAGCGACGCGACGCAGCACAGCGTCAAGAACGACCTGCTCCAGGTGCTCACACACGAGGCCAACCCGTCGATCCGGCGCAAGCTCTGCGATACCGTCGGCGAGCTTGCCTCGTCGATTCTCGAAGAAGGTAGCGCATGGCCTCTGACTCCATCTAGCTAAGTAGGTCGTAGGCGAATGGGACGAGCTCCTTCCGTGCATGTTTCACTGGATCACATCGGCGAACGTCGCGCACCGTGAAAGTGCTTTGCGGGTGTTTGAGATGATCTCGCTCTTCATTGCGACAGCGATGAGCGACTACTTTGACACGACGATCCGACAGCTCTTTGAGACGTGCCTTATCGACCCGGCCGGGCATGTGGCCCTCCATGCGCTCCGCGCGCTTGGCATGCTCATCCTCAGCATCGACGAGCTCGACGAACGCGATCGGTTCCAGCCGCTCCTCCCGCTCATCTTGCAGGGCCTCGTGACCATGCAGGGCCCGTCCGACGACGACCTCATGGAGGCGATGGAGGTCATCATCGAGCTCATGGAGCCGCATGCGTCCTTCTTCAAGCCGTGCTTTCAGGACCTTGTGCGCATGATGGTCGCGATCGCGCAGACGACGAGCGCGAGCTTTGGCACGCGGCAGCTGGCCATGGAGGTGCTGGTCTCGATCGCCGAGAACGCGCCGGCTTCGTGCCGCCGGTTCCCGCACAACAGCTTTGTCGAGATTGTGTTTCCGATCGCATTCAACCTCATGCTCGACGTGCCGGACGAGATGCTCGAGGACGACGAAGCCAACGACGACATCTCGAACGTCGACGTCGGCTCCGAGTCGCTCCAGCGCATGGCGCAAGCGATCGGCTTCAAGAAATCGCTTGGCACGTGCTTCCGCCTCGTCACGTCGTTCGCCAACCACGGCGACTGGCACTACCAGTACGCGGCGCTCCTTGGTCTGACGCAAATCGTTGAGATCATCCCGCCAGCCCAAGTCCCGTCGGTCGTCGACCACGTCTTTACGCACCTCACGCCGACGTTCCACCCGCGCGTGCTCAGCGTCGCCATCGACGCGCTCGGCCAGCTCGCAACCGACCACGGTCCCGTCTTCCAGGAGCAGTACCACGCGCAGACGATCGCGATGCTGCTCGAATACATGGCCCTCTCGGCGCCGACGCTGGCCCAAGCGAGCTGGAAGTGGAAGTGCCACTTTCAAGCCCACGCGGCCACGTCGCTGCGCTACTTTATTGACACGTGCCACCCCGAGGTGATGGACCCGTACCTCGAGTCGCTCCTCACCGCGCTCTTTGCGATGCTCTCCACCGCGCACACTAGCGCCAATTCGATGATTGACCCGACGCCCGAAGGCCGGTCAGTGCAAGAGCACGCGGTCGCCGCGATCTCGTCGATCGCGGGCTGCTGCGGCCCGAGCTTTGCCCGCTTTTACGACAAGGTGTTGCCGCCGCTCAAGCAGCTCCTCTATGCGTGCTTGACGGAGCTCACGACGTCGACCGACGCGTCGACGATGCTCTGCGGCATCACGCTCGAGTGCATTTCGCTTGTTGGGCTTGCGGTCGGCCCGAATGTGTTTGGCGCCGATGCCGACGAGGTCTTGACCGTCATGACGCAGATGCAGCACTCGACGCAGTACGCGGACGACGAGATTCTGCGGTCGTATCTTCTCCAAGCGTGGGCGCGGCTGTGCAAGACGCTCGCCGAAGGATTCGCGCGCTATTTGCCAGTCGTCATGCCGTCGCTCCTTGACGCGGCGATGCAGCAAGCCGAGTTTGACATGGACGACGACGACGAGAACGGTATGATGGCCGACGACGACGACGAAGACGTGCAGATTGCCCACATCAACGACAAGTGCGTGAGCATCCGGACTAGCTTGCTTGAAGAGAAGGCGACCGCATGTCAGATGCTCTCGTCGATGGTCGGCGACCTGAAAGAAGCGTTCTTCCCGTACGTCGAGCAAGTCACGACCGTGCTTACGCCGCTCATGACCGACTCGGTGCACACGGAGATCCGCGCCGCGTCCATCTCGGCCATGCCGTCGCTCGTGCTCTCGGTCTCGAAGCATTTGCATGTGACCAACGGCGACTACAGTCCGGTCGTGCAGATGCTCGAGTATACGCTCGGCCGCCTCTTGAACGCGCTCTCAACCGAGCCGGAGCTCGAGCTCCAAATGACCATCATGCAGTCGATCAAGATGTGCATCGCCCACGCGGTGGACCCGGAAGAGACGAACGACCTCATTGGGAAGAAGGCGCCGACGGGCCTTCTCAACCACGCGCAGCTCGTGCAGCTCGTCGAGGGCTTGCTCATCGTGCTCGCCGAGAGCTTTCAGCGCCGCGCGGTGCGCCGTGCGCGCAAGGCGATCGAAGAGCTCGACGAAGAGGAGGCCGAAGAGGACATGGACAACGACGCGACCGAAGCCCAACTGCAGTTTATTCTCGCCGACTGCATCGGGTCGCTCGCCAAGACGCACACGCACGTCTTCTTCCCCGTCTTCCAGGAGACGCTCCTCGACAAGGTGCTCGAGATGGTCCAGCCCCACTGCCTCCCGGAAGACCGCAAGCTTGCCGTGTACCTCGTCGACGACATTCTCGAGCACACGGGTCCGTCGGCCGTCGCCCACCTCGATACGTTTGTGCCCATGCTCGTCGTACGTCTACGATTGCACTATAGTTGGTGTAGGATCATGTTTTTGTATCTAGGATTGCGTCGGCAGTGAGTACCCGCCGCTTCGCCAAGCGGCTTCGTTTGGCCTCGGGCTCTGCGCGACGCAGGGCGGACCGGCATTTGCGCCGTACGTGACGCAGACGGTCGAGCTCCTCTGGCAGCTCGTGCACGCGCCCGACGCGTACGACCCCATGTACGTCAACGCGACAGACAATGCAGTCTCGGCGATCGGTCGCATGCTCTTGCTCTTTGACGACGCGCTCAACCCGACGCTTTTTTCGCAGTGGCTGCGCCTTCTCCCGATGCGCGGCGACCTCGAGGAGTCGGCGGCCGTCATCCAGCGCCTCTGCGCGGCGATCCAGTGCAAGCACCGGATCGTGTTTGATGCGACCAACGTCCCGGTGCTCATTTCGGTGCTGGCCGAGTCGATATCGGCGCAGCTGTTTGCCGACCAAGACGACGTCCTCCACGACATTCAGATGGCGCTGCGCAGTCTCCGCGAGCTCATTCCGCCCCACGTGATGCAAGCCGTGTGGTCGTCCATGTCGCCGACGCAGCAGCAAGCGCTCCACGCGCTCTTTGCATAGAGTAGTAGAGACCAGTCATATCTTATTATATATACCAACGAGAATGCAACGACGCCGCATGAGCTCGCCGCATGTGGATCGCAAACATGATTGGGCGTGGACGTTGGTGGCGTTCGTGTAGGGTTAGGGTTGTCCACGCACCTTGGCCTGGGTCGCCACAGTACAATATTTGTACAACCGAGGCAGCATGAGAGCAGATGACATTATTGTCAAGAGGAAATACAAACTAGGAGTGCGATTGTTCGACGAGCACCAACCAACCCTGAGACGAGCCCACGTCGTCCGACCGTCGTTGACGTCACCTCGGAAGTATGGTGGTCTTTGGACCAACTCGACTTTGGCGCGTAAAAACTGGTTTAGTTGATACTGGTACTAAGCAAATGCTCCGAAGTACATGATCGACTCTCCATATAGTAGGGTGCAAGGCCAAGTAACCGTGCGGATCGGTCCTTGGCAGCGACGTACTTTTGTTAGTACGCAGTTCGCTAATGCGGTCAAAGTCCCTCTACTCTTTCGGATGTTTCGTACTTGATGGTGTGGATGCCAAGTCCGTACCGAGCTATACTAGAAGGCGAAACACGAGCTTATGATTTGCTTCTTCGCAAACCATCGATATGGCCGTGTTCGCTGGGAAGGCGATCGAACACCCAACGTTAAGTTTGTGTTTACGTCAGTTTCCATCTCAACGACGAAGACGACAACAATCATGGGCAGCGCCCCCGACCGCCCGACGATCGACGAGACACTGCGTTTGTCGATGCCCAAGAGCCCGCGGTCCCGGTCGCTCAAGTACTACTACGAGCACCGCGACGACGTCCTCGCCAAGTTGCGTGCAAACTACGGCGACAACAAGGAACGCGAGCGCTTGCGCCAGCGGGAAAAGTACCTCCGGCGCAAGGCCCGTCAAGAGGCGACTGCCGTGGCGCCGCTGGACCTTCGTCTGCGCGTGGCGTTCCTTCTCAACGAGCCGCCGTCGCCCCATTCGACTTTGTAGGTATCGAAAAGGTCTTCGAAAGAAAACAACAACTACCACTCACCCCGGGTGACCCGTGCACTGGCTTTGCCGCTAGAGTCGAGGAGGAAGAGCGGCCGATGAACTGCAGCGCACTCAAACGACACGCTTCGCCAGCAACGTCGCGCGAGACTCTAGTACGAGGAACAAGGCCGACGTGTGGCGGCGGGCGCACCCATGTGTGCGTGTCCACGCCATGGACACGGTCGTTTCGATCGTGATGAGT